CTTCATCAAAATCATTCATAAAATTCATTGAAAAAGAGAAGACCTGGGCAAAGGCTTGGATCTTTCCCCAGGGACCACTCTTGGACCCACACACCTGGCAGGTGCTAGTTTAGTCTGCCTCACGCTTACAAAGCAATCTGGCTACTCTACACACCATCTCACATAAGAGCATCTAACACCTTAACAAATGCTTTGCTGAAAGCAAGATTCACTTATGTTTCAAAACAAAGTGTACAAAACTACACATATTAAAATCATAGTCTTTGAAAAATACATATGCACACAGAACAAAGACTAGAAGGAAATGAGCATCAATGGAAATGTCTGTTCTAGCGTCAGACTGTGGAGATTGTTTTTTATTCAATACTGTCTTTACTCTAGTTACATTGTTTAAAAATTGAAGACACTAGGAATTCTGCTTAGAGAGAGTTGCTTGGAGGCAGTTCATATAAAACAGCTTTAAGAGCACTGAGACTCTATCTGATGCTACCAACTTGAAAACCCCAATCAAAAAATGTTCATTTGAAAAGACTTGTTGATCCTTAGGAACACCAGCTTCTTTTTTTTTGAATTTTGCATTCCTGTTTTTGGCTAACATTTCTGGAAATCAGGAAGACAGTAGACCGGAGAACAGTATTCTAAAGTTTAGAAAAAGCTTGAATGTTTTGTGTGTGCGTGTGTATGTGTCTCTGTGTGTGTGTGTGTGTCTGTGTGTGTGTGTGAGAGAGAGAGAGAGAGAGAGAGTCTGTTCCTGTCTGTCATGTCTCTCTCTCTATCTATGCTGGCGAAGTTCAAAAGGATGAAAAGGAAAAAAAAGCCACCATGTTAATAGTTCTCTGAAGCTTTGGACTAAAACACAGCTCCATCCCAAGAATTTCTAGCGGACACATAAATTCATATCATCTATTCACCTGGAATCCTTTTTTTACACTAATAGCAGGAAATAAGATCAGCAATAGGATTTGCACTTTGCTGTTTAGAGCCGAGGCAAGGGTAAGGTTTAAGAAAAGGAGTCAGAAAGAGTAAATGTGTGCTACAGTTAGTAAAAAAGAAAAAGAAACAAAGTGGCTGGTTATTTGGGAGAAAATAAGATCTATAAATCCTGCCCTTACTGGAATCCTCAAACAATCTGAAAATTTGATGGAGAATTTTTTAACAAGTCAGGGTTTCTTCACTGCTTCAGCATTTTGTTTAGAGCATGGTTTTCATCAGTGGTAAACCAGTGATAGAATCTGAAATACATGTTGTCTTTATCTCTTTGAGGTGGTCTCTCACTAGCTTTCTCTGGTGCAGTCCCTTGCTATTTTTAATGTTTGAGAGAGAGACAAGTGAAAATTCCAATTTGCTTAGAAATACGAGTTGTCCTTTGTCCTAGAAGCTAAGCTAAATATATCAGGTAAACCAACAGCTTTTAGATTGATGGCAACTCTTATAATAAAGAGATGAGATGACCAAATACTAAGTCTAATATGATGACCAAATACTAAGTCCAGCTAATATTGACAACTGAAAATTTTACTTTGCTTAGAAATAAATTTTCCCTAGCATACTAAAAGCTAAGCCAAATGCATGTGGTAGGTAAATCAGCAGGTTCTTAGGTCCATAGCAAATTTTCATTTAAAAGAGATAAAATGTTTTAAAATTCCATTTTGTTTTGAAATACAATTTTCCTTCCACCCTACAAATTAGGCTGAATACCTGAGGTAAGTCAAGAGTTTCACAGATACATGGCAAATTGTCATAAAATAGGTAAATGTCCAAGTAGAAAGTCTAGTTACTACTTGACAAGGGAAAATTCTACTTTGTTTTGAAATACAATTTTCCCACTACATAAGAAGTTAAATACAGGTAGTAAGTCAACAGCTTCATAGATCCATAGCAAATGCTCATAAAAATGGATTAAACTGTCCAAATACAATGTCCAGTTATTATTTGATAAAAACAAATATGCTCATTAACAGCTTTTTTTGCTTTACATGCAATCTTGTGCAAAATGGGTAAGAAACAGTCAACACTGGGAAATATCTGAGAAAATCCAAAATTCACTTAGGATACTAACTGTCAAAAAAGTGTTTAAAATTCTTGTCTATTAATGGGGGGTTGTTAAAGTTTTGTTAGACAACACAAATGTTATCTAAAGTATTTTTCTATCAAAGTTGTATTTTTGTGTTTGTTTTTAATATTGTTTTGTTGTTTCAGATTTTAAAAGTTTTATAATTACTTACCTGTCGATATTGTTTTTTTCTTAGAAAATTATATTTCTAAGCAAAGTAAAAATTATTGTATATGTTGAGAAATAAAAGCACAAGGAAATATACCAAAATGATAACTATGTGTATGTTATAATAGTGATGTCAGGGGAAATTCTCAGTTCTCTAGTTTTAAATACATATGTACTAATGTTGTTCATCTAAAATTTTAATTAGAAAAAGTAATTAATATTTCCTTTAAAAAAACCCTGCAAATTTACTGTTATTTAACTATTAGGTCTCTTTGGAAAGAAAATAAATTTGAAAAATTAATTTGAACCCCTTTTTTATTTTTAAAAATCATAATATGCAGCTTTATGAAAAATATATATTATTTTGGTACATAAGCACGTATAAAGAAAGTGTGAAAAAGTAAACTCCATAATGTTTACGGGGTTTAGCTCAGGATAAAGAAGTTACAGGTGATCCTGATTTTCTTGATTTTTTCCCCAGTTTTCTGGAGTTTTTTCTCCTGAATTTTGTACAGTGAGTAGGAATTCAGTATGATAAAAATAACACTAAAGCTGTTTTTATATTAAAAAAATTCTGGTTAACATTTTGAAATAAAAGATTAAATTGGTTCAAAGTGGTTCAAACTTTAAGTGTCTTGGGATCAATTTTTAAACTTTCCTTTTCCCTACCATCTGTACTGATTTTTAATCTCACTTTTTAGAAAAAGAATATCTATCAGTTAACAATTAGGTGAAGTAACTTTTCTAGATTGAAAAAAAGTCTAAGGGGTTGATAGTTTGGCGGTCATGAGAATGGTACTCTGGCAAACATAAGAATCCTAAAATTATTTTATCTTGCAGGAAAGGCTGAACATCGTAAGATTAAAAGGCACTTCTAAAAAGTATAATTGTGCTCACCCAACTTCCTAGAAAAATATCTTTAATTGGTGGAAATCTTCACTTCATTCATTCATACAACGGATGGTCAACATTTCATTTTTGATAAAAAGTAAAATCTCAGTAAATGTGCTCCAGTTTTGTTTATTCCTAGAAAAGCTAGCTTTAAGTGCAATCCCTGACACGCTGTCATCTACAATGGGCCAAATTCTTATTTATCCCATATGTATAAATAATCTGTAGCAATGTTACTAAAATATGCTCAGTTTCAGCCTTCAAATACAAATGTGTCTCATCCGTATTTCAGGAACCTCACTCAGCTGTAGACAATTTAACTTAAACTTCTTTTTCTAAGATTATCAACAAATTGTCCGTTTTCTCAGAGCCTAACACTTTGAGGCACTTAAATGAAAATCCTCGTTATGGCTTTTTTTTTTTTTTAAGCATCCTTCTTCATCAGTATTTTAAAGGCTTGTAACCCACTGCAATTTTATCTAAGGTAAAATATGTATGTTTATATGCATAAATACACACAAACATTTGTGGCCGAATCTCAGCAACATGCTTGAAAGGATTAAACATGCGGTTACCGTGACTAAATGTATTCATTTTCTCTACAAGATTTAGAAAAATGTAACGTTGCAGGGAGAACTAGGTCTCTGTGTAAACCTTGTAATCACCACCAAAAGGCCATAGCTGGGAGCCTCCGAAGCCTCCAAGCACATTGGAGGCATCCACAGCTGTTTTTAATTGTTTTAGCTTTTCAAAATAGTGCACTTGGTGGGGCAAACGGTGTTGTTTGCAGCGTCTCTGGCCCCCAGCCGGGGTTAACCCTGACCCGAACGCCCTGTTTAGCTCCCAGCATTTCATGATTCCACTTCCCCGCTCCATAAAACCTAAGAAAAACGAGATCTCCGCCGCCGAGAAATGCTCTTAGGAAGAGGGGGAGTTAGGTGTTTCAAATTGCACATTTTTGTGATTTCTCCCGATCGGATTCAAGGAAAGGAAAGAAAGGACGTGTTTGTGTGGAAAGGGACGCAGCTTGACACCCATTTCCTATGGCTTGTCTCCGGGCCGCAGCGCCCCATTCGTGTGGTAACGACCCCCAGAAAAATGGGCAACCCCCAAGTCTTTGCTGCAGGGATGGGGAGAGGTCCACCACCAGGGCTGGGAATCGGAGGGGGGGCGGGTAGGAATGGAAATTGGAGATGGAATTTCTCCGCGTTCTGGGCAGGGAGGGGCCCGCGGGGGCGCAGAGAAAAAGAAAAGGCCAGGGGTCAAGCCTGGGAAGGGACTCACAGGGCCCGGGAATTGGGGTATGGGGTGTCCTGGAGGAGGGGTATAGTGGGGACAGGGGCAGCAAGAGGGGCTGCCACCCAGAAAATGCACCCAGATACCCAAAACCCGGGCGGGAGATGGGGAGGCGGCGGCCTGTTGGCCCCAGGACCTCCCGTCGCGCGCGGGCCACTAACCTGTCAGCAAGAAGGTGCCAGTGGTCGCGGGGCTCATCCTGCGTGTCCCCCGACCCTGTCCCGTCCAAGCACAAGGGTCTCCCAGCTCCCACCACCGGGGCAATTGCATTCTTGGCCTGGCTAGGCCGGCCGTCCTCGATTCTCCCCTCCCCTCCCTTTCTTCTTTCCTCCCAGCTTGGCCAGTTCAGCATCAGCATCCTGCACCCCCTCCTTAATCCTGTACTCCCTCTAGCGGCGGGCCAGTGTAGCGTGGCCATCGCCCCCACCCCATCCCCCATCCTGTCCTGTCCCTGTCTCCCCTGCCCCACCCCATCCCCCATCCCCCCTCCGCCTCCGCTCCCCTCCGCCCCCCTAACTCGCGGAGCACACTGGGATTTGGCGCCCCCCTCCTCTGTTCAGCCTATATAAGGCTCCCAGTCGGCGCTCCCGGTACACGCGCTTCAACTTCGGTTGGTGTGTGTCGAAGAAACCTGACTACGACCTGGGGAGAAGAGCGAAGAGGGTCCACCGAGCCTCGCGAAAGGTCCGCTGAGCGGGCTCGCGTCCGGAGCCACTCCGGGCTGCGGAGCACCCAGCGGAACCCACGCCTGGCACAGGTGTGGGACCCCGTCCTCCTGTCTTCGCAGAGGAGTCCTCGCGTGGTGAGTATGCGGTGAGGATGTTTCTTTTATTAAGATCACATTCATTCTCTGTCCTTTTCGGGAGCTGCGGGAGATGGAGTAGTGCCCCTGAATGTCTCCACGCAAATCTTGTCACGCCTTCACTGGCAGTACCCCAAAACAGAGTGGAGAAACCAAGCCTTCAGGGCTTTGATTTCCAGGACTCAAGTCCAGATAAGTGGTGTAGACAGACATGAGCTGCAGACAGACATGAGCTGCAGACCGATTTGCAATTTGCTCTTCAAAAGCGCTACGTAGTGATAGGCGCTACAAACTAATTGGCGCTTCAATATGCTATGAACTGATAAGCGCTTCAAATACGCTATAGACTGGCGCTTCCAATGCGCTACAGGCTGATGGGTGCTTCAATGCGCTACAAACTGATAAGCGCGTTAAATGCGCTATAGATAGATGGGCGCTTCAGTTGCGCTATAAACTGATGGGCGCTTCAATGCGCTACAAACCATTATGAATTGCAGCAGTATATGAGCTGCAGACTGATGACTGATTTGCGCTTTAAATGCGCTACAAAATCTGAGCTGCAGATTAGCGCTACAAAAATACCATTCGCACTACAACAGCGCTTCATTGTGCTACAAGGCACAGGAACTGCAGAGGTACATGAGCTGCAGAGAATTTACACCTAAAATGCGCTAAAAGTAATAACAGCTGCGGAGGTATACAAGCTGCACTGTTTTACGCCACAAAGAAACCAGCTGTAAAGGGACAAGAGCTGCAGAGTAAGATTACTCTGTCTTTTTAGTGGGGGACCCCACCCTTTGTCTCTAACACACCTTTTGGAATGGCTCCCACTATGTTTTTCTGCAGGACGGTTGTCTGCATGATGGTGCTGTTAGACAAAATGGAGCCCCGGGCAAAAATTAGTGTTTAACATTCTGCCCACACCATTCCTGCTATAGCAGTGGAGTGGAGGGGCGCTGACTTGAGTGTATAAGGGAATCTTTTGGTGGTGGCAGAGCGGGCTGCCTTGTCTAGTTGCGCTTGATTGAAGTGGCGGTGTAGTTGTGAAGGTGGCGCGAATTGGCGTCCAGCAACAGTTTGTGGAAACTGTTGGTTTGCTTAGTATGGGGGGGTGTTGGATCTGGGGGTGATTGCTCTGTTGCATGAAATGAATCTGGCTGTGGAGGCTGGTGGGAGGGGTTTTGGGAGGGGGGATCCTGGGAGAGGCAAACAGCCAGTCTCAGACCTGCCCCGCCCATTCTAGCGCGCCTTCTCTGCAGTATCTGCTCAGAGCGTGCTGAGCGCCTCCCAGCGCCTACTCAGAGCGCGCCTCCTCTGCAGCGCGCCTTCCTAGAGCGCGCCTTCTAGACCCTTTCTCCCCAGCCCCGCCTCTCCCTGAGCCCCCTCCTCTGTGGTGGCTCCCCCCCAGACCCCGCCTTTCCCTGAGCCCGCCTCCTCTGAGGCCTCTCCCTCAGACCCCGCCTTTCCCTGAGCACACCTCCTCTGAGGCCGCTCCCTCAGACCGCGCCTTTCCCTGAGCCCACCTCCTCTGAGGCCGCTCCCTCAGACCCTCCCTCTCCAAGCCCGCCTCCTCTGAGGCTGCTCCCCCCCCAGACTCCGCCTCTCCCTGAGCACTCCTCCTCTGAGGTGGCTCACCCCTGCCCCCTGAGCTTGCCTCCTCTGAGGCGATACCCCCAGAAAGCGCCCCTCCCTAGGCCTGCCTCCTCTGAGGTGGCTTGCCCAGACACCCCGTCTCCAAAGCTTGTCCCCTCCCTGAGCCTGCCTCTTCCGAAGTGACCTATGGCCCCGCCTCCCAGTGCCCGCCTGCGCCTGCGCAGTGTGAGCCCCCAGCCCCGCCCTACAGGCCCACCTCCTCTGCGCCTGCGTGCCTTCACTGTTTTCACTGCCTGAACCTGGATGCACAGCCCCTCCCTCCTGCGGTTTCTTGGCGGTGTCGATTTTGCTTTTTATCCACTAGTGTCTAATAAATATAAGAATAATAAATAAGAACAATTAGCAACGATAGTCATTATACCTGGGATTTATAAGCACTTTTTGCAAGTGCTTTGCATATATTAAATAACACAATTCCACAATTTAAACTTGATAGTGGGTTATGAAAAGTGCTTCTGAGCAGACATGGCTGGTGCCCCTAAGGGCAATCCAGCTAAATGTTTTTACTACAAATGAAAAATAAATTGTTTTAAATACTTTCACATTTAAGGTTTTTTTGAGACACTAATGGACACTTGTGGTGGCTTACTGGAATAGGATTCTTTGGTGGACACAAAATAAGGAATACCTTGAACTGTGTTTCATAGAAGTTTTAAGTGCCTTATTGGTACTGTTGGCCTGGCCTTGGGGCAAGGATGAGGTGTTTATCTGTGTGCCTATGAAGATGGGTTTTTTTCCTTGGAACTCGAAGGGATTAGCCCTGGCTAACTTGCCTACATATTTATTAATTGTGCCTGGCACATGGTAAGCATTCAGTAAATACGTGTTAAATGACCAGAGTAAATTGGCTTTTTCAGTGCCACCTTTGGTGTCTGCAGGTGTTTCCTGGTTTTTTTCCTATGGTGCTTTGCTGTCCTGGATTGTCCAAGGCATTGCTTGCCTTATCTCTCCCACTTAACAGGATTCCCCCCCCCAAAAAAAGTATGCATTTTTAAACTCCAATAATGTAAGCTGTAATTATAATACAAGACTATACTTATATAAGATATTTAAAATAATTAGCTTTTTAAAAATGAAAAGCAAAAGCTAATTATTTGGGGTGAATGGAATACTTAATGGTGGTACATAATTGTCATATTTAAATTTTGTATAATGTAACATCAAGTGGTTACATTACAAAATATAGATTGGAGGGTTTTAACTGGAATTATAAAATATATATATAAAACAAATTGATGCCTTATCTCCAGTCAGAGTACCATGTTTATGTTTCTAACTAAACATAACTTTTAAAACGTGGTATCCTATATTATAAGCCATAAGCCAGGACTTTGACTCCCAAATATCTGTCACCCCCCACAACAAGTATACAATTTACATATTTTTACATATTTATACTTAAAGTAATTACAGCTTTCAGTCAGTCCCCAGGCCCACCTTGACCCCCTAACCCCCACCCCCTTTGGATATTTGTTATCTGCATTCTTTTAAAGTTCAAAACAATGGTAAAAACGTGTGTATTAATATAATTTGCATTTCTCAAATAGTACACATGGTACTAAAAAAATTGGGACATTTGAAAATGTAAAGCAATTAAGAGTTGCTTAATGAAGTGTCATTTTTTAATGAGATATTTAATGTGCAATGGTTTTTGGCTGCTGTTACTCTTTGGTGTGTTTGGGGAAAAGAAGTTTTTAGACATCATCATGAAGAGTCAAAGATTAATCAAATGTATTTAATTCCTATATAGACTAATACTGAATTCTTTTTCATATGTAAAGGTGACATCAGTCCCATGTGGCTTGGCTCTATGCTGCGTGTCCTTTCAGGTTTTAGGAATGGGGCCTCTTGACCCCATCTCGGCAATCCAGCCCCTAGTAGGGGGGGCGGGTTTAAGGAGTCATAGTTCTGTAATTCAAATCAAGTCACAGTGCTCCTGTTTCCATGTTAACTGGTGCTGTAGTTGCTATTTAAATATTTTTAAACTTTATTTACACTGAATGTTAACCTGCCTGCCCACCCTCCTATCATTTTTAAAGGTTAACCTACTCTTCTCTGGGCAGTTATCTCCTTTAGGACTTAGAGTCTCACCCCAAAGTTAAAAACCCCAGGGGTAGGTACCCGATGCCTGATCTTGGTAAAAGTCAGGGGTCTCCAACTGGTGAACTTGCAGGTCAGATAAGGTCCTTAATTTGACCAGCACTGGATTAAAAATTTGTTAAAGAATTTAATGTCTTCGGGAGGGGACATGCATCCCCAAATTACATAGTCACAGCCCCCTCCTTATTGTCTTAACTCCAGTTTCTTCTCACTTTTATGTTACCTTCCAAAGCATTTGAATTTTTAACCTTTATTGATCTTCTGGTACCCTAAACAATACAATGATTGTTTGCTGATTTCTGAACATGTTGTTATATCTGTCCTATTATTGTGTTTTGCAGATGTTAAAACCATCAGACTTGGGCCTCAATAAAGCTCACCCCAGTGACTGTGATTGACATGTAGGTTGTTAACCTTCCTGACCTGGGTCAGGCAGCGCCAGGCCATGCTCTGAATGCCTTTCCAGAAGTCTTCTCTCTAAGTTTTGAAAGTATTACTGTCTAGGTGACAGAAGTGGCACTTGAGTCACCTGACTTGTGCTTATTAGTTGTTTTTTAATGGGACGTTAAAGCTTTTAATAAATGAGACATTTATTAAATAAAAATTTTTATTAAATAATTTCATTTTATGAAATAAATTTAAATAAAAATAACTTTTAATAAAAATTGCACTGTTTTGTGACCTTATATTTTGAGTGTCACTAATACAATTATCTTTAAGGAGCTGGAAATGAAACAGTGTCACAGGTTATGATGTGTTATTTTCTAAACTTTCAGACTATTTAGAATATTTTATCTTGAATGCCAATTAAAACTATTAAAATGGCACAGTAATTCTGTCCCTTAAAGACTCTGCTTGCTATACAGCCACTCCAAGGACAGTGCAGAGCATAGAGAAAGTGGCTGGGGCTGGGGGGTGGGGGTGCAGGGGAGGGGCCTAAAGAGCTATGAGGGGTTTTAAGGAAGGAGGAGGAAGGGATATGTCTCTACAGCCAGAGACAAGGCTAAAGTATACATGCATCATGTTTGATTACCACCGCCTTTTTTTTTTCCTTGTACCTTACTGAAATACTAGCTATTTTTCACCTAACTTCTTTGATTAACACGTTTATCTTTGTGATTTTTAATTAATATAATTAATTTAGTGTCCATTTTTGCCTTGATGGATCAGAGAAGAACAGGTGGCCAGGACTGCCAAGTTAAAATTTGGTGAACAGGCAATCTGCCTGCTTTATAAATTATGTTTTTAAACTTTTGAGCACTTTCTTGAAGTATTCCAAATATGAGAATTTAATGCTCATTTAAAAAATATTAAAAAGGTAAAATAATTAAGTTACTATAAATGCATTTAACCCTCTTTTTAGGAAGTACATAGGCACTGTTGGCTGATTTATTGTATGTGTGATTTATTGTCACCATACCCATAATTAAGAATTTTAATCTCCCCACTCCCCCTAGCCCCCCCATGTAGCTACTCACCACCTAGGAAGGAGTACAGCCCTGTCTTGCTCTAAGTTACAAACTTTTGGATGGGGCTGTGCTGTTAAAAACTTGTTTAAAAACTAGAAGTTGCAAACTGGTGACCTGCAAATCAAGTGAGGCCCTGGATTTGTTTGGCCAACAGTATATCCAAAAAAATAAAATTAATTAATCTCTAGGTGGGAAATGCATGCCTCGGTTGCCATAGTTACAGCCCTTCCCTGTTTTCATTTTAGCCTCTTCACACAGAAAGTTACCTTTCTTATTAATAACTTTATTAATATTAGGTAACAGTTGAATATTCACTGCTTTTCCTGCATTATTTAATTAAATCCATATTATAAGTTTGAGGTGTACTATTACTGGGCTTCTTTGAATGTCCCATTTTATAGCCCAGCTCTTCCTAGCCTAGGAGGTATCAATTAATATTTGTTGATTGACTGCATAATAAGGAGGGAAACTGATAGACACATGTTGCTGCTCAGTGCCACTTCTGTCCCTTAGGGAATTCTCTTTGGGAAATCAGATTACGGTCAGATTTAGACAACCCTGTGGGTTTTTGATAATGGCTTAGTAACCTCCATGGAGATAGTGCCCCCTTTCCCCAGGGTTGATGAATATAGGCATTGTGATTCTAATCCCCCCACTCTTTTTTTTTTTTTTTTTGGTTCCCTATTGGCTGGAATATTAGCAATTTTTCAGGTAACTTGTCTAATAACAGGCATTTTGGCTCTGCTTGTGTGTTTTTATTTGGTCTCCATCTTTGACTTGAAAGTTTCTTGAGGTGCTCTCTTGATACAAAACTATTTGTTTAGAATGTCTTGGCATTCTTTTATAGTCAGTGAAGGTAAATTTGCTGTTGATATAGTTATGAATTGTTGAATCATAATAAACATGTGACCTTTGAGGAGAAAAAGGTCATTTGGACATGAAAAAGTAGGGTGCTTTTTGTTATCTATTGTCTTAATTGATTAACTCCTTTCTCCCTTTTGCAAGATTTGTGTTTGCTTATTAATTATTAATGTAAGCAAGTAGAGCAAAGAGATACTTTAAATACTCATGTATTTAAAGTATTTTAGTGGATACTTTAAATACTCATGTATTTAAAGTATTTTAGTGGCTGGCTACTTTAAATACTCATGTATTTAAAGTACTTTAGTGGCTACTTTAAATGCTAAAGTCTTTTTTATAATGTGCTGCTTTGAATGTGTATGTTAAAATTTATGCTTTTATCTTAATTTCCAGAAACAAAAAGCTTTTGAAAACAAAAAGAAGAAAGGGTGGAAGAGGAGGCCAGGATCCGGGCCTCCATCCCCACAGGAGCGAAGCTACACCTGGGAGGTCTCCTCCCACCCCAGCTCTCACCCTGGGGCCCGACTGCCCACCTCCTCCTCCTCCTCCTCCCCCCAACGGCCCCTCCTCCTCCTCTTCCTCTTGCTCCTCCTCCTCTTCCTCTTCTTCATCCTCACGCAGCGCCCAAAGGGGCCAGTACATTCCCAACCTGGCCGAACGAAGGCGGGACGATCTCTCTGAAGAGATCAACAACCTCAGAGAGAAGGTCATGAAGCAGTCCGAGGAGAACAACAACCTGCAGAACCAGGTGCAGAAGCTCACAGAGGAGAACACCTCCCTTCGTGAGCAAGTGGAGCCTGCCCCTCAGGATGAGGAGGATGACATCGAGCTCCGAGGTGCTGCGGCGGCTGCTGCCCCACCCACTCCGTTAGAGGAAGAGTGCCCAGATGACCTTCCCGAGAAGTTTGACGGCAACCCAGACATGCTGGTTCCTTTCATGGCTCAGTGCCAGCTCTTCATGGAAAAGAGCACCAGAGATTTCTCAGTCGATCGCGTCCGCGTCTGCTTCGTGACAAGCATGATGACCGGCCGTGCCGCCCGCTGGGCCTCTGCGAAGCTGGAGCGATCCCACTACCTGATGCACAACTACCCAGCCTTCATGACTGAAATGAAGCACGTCTTTGAAGACCCTCAGAGGCGAGAGGCCGCCAAACGCAAGATCAGACGTCTGCGCCAAGGCATGGGGTCAGTCATCGACTACTCCAATGCTTTCCAGATGATTGCCCAGGACCTGGATTGGAACGAGCCCGCCCTGATTGACCAGTACCACGAGGGCCTCAGCGACCACATTCAGGCAGAGCTGTCGCGCCTCGAAGTGGCCAAGTCGCTGTCGGCGCTGATCGGCCAATGCATCCACATTGAGAGAAGGCTGGCCAGAGCGGCCGCAGCTCGCAAGCCGCGTTCCCCGCCGCGCGCGCTCGTGTTGCCGCACATCACGAGCCACCACCAGGTAGATCCAACCGAGCCTGTGGGCGGCGCCCGCATGCGCCTGACCCAGGAAGAAAAAGAAAGACGCAGAAAGCTGAACCTCTGCCTCTACTGCGGAAATGGAGGTCACTACGCCGACAACTGTCCTGCCAAGGCCTCAAAGGCTTCACCGGCGGGAAACTCCCCGGCCCCGCTGTAGAGGGACCTTCAGCGACCGGGCCAGAAATAATAAGGTCCCCACAAGATGATGCTTCATCTCCACACTTGCAAGTGATGCTCCAGATTCATCTCCCGGGCAGACACACCCTGTTCGTCCGAGCCATGATCGATTCTGGTGCTTCTGGCAACTTCATCGATCACGAATACGTTGCCCAAAATGGAATTCCTCTGAGGGTCAAGGACTGGCCAATACTGGTAGAAGCAATTGATGGACGCCCCATAGCATCGGGCCCAGTTGTCCACGAAACGCACGACCTGATAGTCGACCTGGGAGATCACCGTGAGGTGCTGTCATTCGATGTGACTCAGTCTCCATTCTTCCCTGTCGTCCTAGGGGTGCGCTGGCTAAGCACACACGACCCCAACATCACATGGAGCACCCGATCGATCGTCTTTGATTCTGAATATTGCCGATACCACTGCCGGATGTATTCTCCAATACCTCCGTCGCTCCCACCACCAGCACAGCCATCGTTTTACTACCCGGTGGATGGATACAGAGTTTACCAACCAGTGAGGTATTACTATGTCCAGAATGTGTACACTCCAGTGGATGAAAACGTCTACCCGGATCACCGCCTGGTTGACCCTACCATCGAAATGATACCTGGAGCGCACAGTATTCCCAGCGGACACGTCTACTCACTGTCCGAACCCGAAATGGCAGCCCTGCGAGATTTTGTGGCCAGAAACGTGAAAGACGGGCTGATTACTCCAACAATCGCGCCGAATGGAGCCCAAGTTCTCCAGGTGAAGAGGGGGTGGAAACTGCAAGTTTCCTACGACTGCCGAGCTCCCAACAGTTTCACCATCCAGAATCAGTATCCTCGACTCTCTATTCCAAATTTGGATGACCAGGCTCACCTGGCAACGTACACTGAATACGTACCTCAAATACCTGGATACCAGACGTACCCCACATACGCCACGTACCCGACCTACCCAGTAGGATTCGCCTGGTACCCAGTGGGGCGAGATGGACATGGACGATCGCTCTATGTCCCCGTGATGATCACTTGGAATCCGCATTGGTACCGCCAGCCTCCGGTACCCCAGTATCCGCCACCGCAGCCGCCGCCGCCGCCTCCGCCGCCGCCGCCGCCGCCATCTTACAGCACCATGTAAACACTTGTCGTGTCCTTCAGGATCTCTACCCTCAGATTTACTCCTGTTCAGCTTCTCAGTCAGTGACTGCGTGCTAAATTAGGCTACTGCATCTTCAGGCCAACCTGAGGCACAGCCCTCTCTGAAACGGCTTCGGAAAGGTCAGGGCCACCCTGGACTGGCACACAGCCTAAAAAAGCACCAAAAGACCTCCGCCATTTTCTGAGAGCGACAGAATACTTACCAACAAATTCTCTCTCAGTTTCCCACTTTAACTGCCAATTTAACTAAAATTCGTGACAAGTTTACTTCCCAGCGAATCCTGGAAGCCTGTGTTTTACCTGCTAAAAACCTCTGTCACCATTTAAATTAATAGGCTGCCAGATTCCACGTTTAACACTTACAGAGAAGCTGATGCAAACACGGGAAATGCTGATTTCTTTATGGAGGGGGAGACACGAAGGAGGACGACATGACTTTTCTTGCAGTCTCGGTACTCTCTTTACATCACTGGAGGACCGACGCCTTATTAAGGAAGCCAGAATTGTTGGTGCAGTGTAAAACGGCTTCCGTGATCTTTTTGCTGCACCCTTAGAAACTTCACCATCTTCAAACTCCGCGTTCATGGTTCCGTTAATTCTCAAGGAGCAGCAACTGGACCGGTTCTCCCAGGAGCAGGCAAAACCCCTGCAACAGAAACACCTCAGGCCTCAGAAGGAAGTGCTCTCTCAGAAGGGACTCTTGCATGTTGAGTGTGCCTTCACACCCTGGTGCAAATCACATGTACCCAAGAACTCTGGCTTTCTCACAACACCTTACCATCATCATGCCAGTAATGGCTTCCACAAAATGTTAAACCTGGTAACCAGAGACTGTTGGTGGCTCCAGGTGTGTTAGATGTTTATGAGGCATGACTACCTTGCAGTCCCGTACCCAGCTCTTAAGAGACTCTGAGTTAATGTTACCAACGTGTCCTGGTATTCAGAAGAAATTTCAGGAGTGTTGTTAATTGGCTGGAAGAGGATCACCTAAAGTGTTGGAAGCATCTCTCCATGTGTCTGCCTCCATATGCATCTGGGCATTTCATCATCAGTCCCCTCATTAGACTGTAGCATGAGGATGCTTAGAGAGGGGACATGAATTTAGCACCCAGACCCACACTCCTATGCCTGCGAGGGATATCTTTAAAGAAGAGGAATTGGGGCGCTGGACACTGTCTTGAAGATATGGACTTCTTTAGTGAGCTTTAAATCCAGAGGGTGGCCTGATGGGTAACCTCACTTTAAAAGGATCAGAGTTCACACAGTGGAAAGGGGTCCCCTCTAGAGGACGGAGATGAAAAGAAGCTGCCAAGAATGAAAGGCCTCAGAGCAACTCAAATGACTCAAAGCGACAGACAACACAAGCGTTGTCTTCAATCCAGTGACGACATCTAGTCTCCTGGATGCTTTGTGCTAACCTGGGACTGCCTGACTTCTTTAGCCTGGTCTTTTGCTACTACCTTGAACTCTCTGTCTAATCTCTCTCTTTCTGTTTAATTCTTTACTACTGCCATTAACCCTGCTGCAGGATTTGTGTCATCTTTCCTGCCTGGCTGCTGAGACTCCATTTTGCTGCCACGCATGGAGAAGAAAGAGGCAGGCTTCAAGAGGCTTGTGTTTCAGTACACAACCTCCAATTGCCAAAACACAGTTTGAGCAGTAGACAACATGGTAGAGATTTCAAATTGTGTGTAATGAAGAGGAGTCTTAACGGTGAAGTTTCATTTTTCATCCACATCCTCTTTCACCCATTCATTATCACCCACCCTTATTCTTGCATGTTTAAATAGTTAAAAGTTTTAGCTGTAGGTGACTAGTGTCTTTTAACAGTGTTTTAAAGTGGTGACTGCTTTCAGGAGTTATTTCCATTGAATTCCGAAGTACTATCCAATTCTTACTGTTAAACTAATTAAAATTGGTAAGTAACATAGTATAACATATTTCTTTACTGTGAACTTCTCTTACAACACTGTGAATGAGAGGCTCCTCAGAACTGGAGTATTTCTATAGTAGTTCATGCCATTCATCTTCAATCTGCTAGTTTAACGTCATATAGGACTTCAGTTTTATCAATTGGGCCTTTTAAAAATCACACAAAAAGACCTACAAATTCAAAAAAGATACCTAATTGGCTATTTAATTCCAAATAACTCTCCCCCCTCCCCCTTTTATTTTCTTCAATGGAACCGAAAGCTTGTCAGTCACTCATGTGTTTTAGAGTAATTACCTTTAAAATGGTGCGTTTGTGCTTCTGAACTATTTTGAAGCGTCACTTCTGTTTACCTCAGATCAACCCATCATCCATACATTTGAATTCAAGTTGTTTTGTGTCAAATTTACAGTTGTCACTTGATCTTCAAGCTGCAGAGGGCCTAGAAGTAGGTCATCGTCTGCAGCCCCGGCATGAGCACACGGACATTCGCTATCACTGCAAGCAGAAGTCTGGAGATGTTGACCAACGACAGCAGCGGTCAGGGAAAGCATGGTGGTATGGGTCAGCAACGCATGGATGAAGACCCTGACGCACATTTGGCTGTTTAGTAAAGCTTGTAAAAAACTGGTTGCAGTGTGTTCTATGCTTTATTGCTATATATACTATCTATAAATGTAGGTGTTAAGGATAAGTAATTTCAAATTTATTCTGTAGTATCAGAATTTAATAAGTTTCCTTTCACTGAGTTTATTTTGTTGCTGTTGATTATGTGTATTGGATACTTTAAGTTTTTTTTGGCATTTTTCCCACAAAATGCCTTTATTCATAAGAAAGGAAAGAGCAAAGAAATTAAATCTCTAAGGGAGTTAGAAAGGGAGCAAAATAAAGCATAAAGGACATACAACAAAACATCAGAATTATTAAAGCCAATAGTCAACCTTTTTTTGAAACAAATTGGCAAATTTGATTAACTTTTGACCCAAATTGTCGGTGTTAATTAAATCAAGGAAGAAGAAGATAGGAGCTCCCATTGTTAGGCAAACCTGGAGAGAACTAGTGAAGGTCATCGTGCTAAGATCTTGAAATGGAGGAAGTTTACATACATTTCTGAAGGGTCAATTTAGTTTGAGCAATGAGGTATTTGCACTCGATGCTGGAAAATGGCAAATTAGTTTGATTCAATCAGGTGAGGTGACATAAGGAACTTGCAGGTGCATAAAATAAAGAGGGGCACATCTATATAGTGCAGTCTGGATTTGTGTTTAAGTTTGCAGGTACCTCTTGGGCTCCTGAATTGATCTGCTTGTCATCTACCACAGACATCGAATGTCAGATACAGTTCCAAGATTGGCAACAGAGAACACTCTGCTGGAAAGACCTGGGCAGAAATGAAGGACCACCTGCCGAGACGAAGAGCTGGGTGGGAACCGTGCTGCATTTTCATCGAAAGAATGAACATCCAGTGGGACTGAAAGTTCTTTGTTGTTTCAGATTATAGAATGTGATTGATGGAATTGGTCTGTGGAAATTGCATTGTTTTTTATTTCTTTATGTTATCAGTTTAAGTAATAGGGGATATACATAATCATAAGTATTTTAGGGTGGGAGGGACTATTAAGTAATCTTAAGTGGGTGGGGTTAGTTTAAAAGTTAGCATGATATTATGTATTAGATAACTCTATAAGTGGACATGTGTACTTACTTGTGATCCTTTACCCTATGATTGCTACCCTTAAAGATTTCAAATAAACTCAGAGGGAACTGCAGGGAGATCAGCCTATTTAGGGCAAATTGGACATGGATAAAACTCTAGTGGGAAAAAGTTCAAAGGTGATTGGATAAATAATTTAACTTTGCCCTGGGTATTAACTCCAGGGATCCAGATTGTGAGCAAAGCCTTTGGAGAGTTATAAGATGAGTAGATACTCTTTGAGAAATTCTTGCTGGAATGAAATTGATAATTAAGGATGGTAAATATTCATGGAAGTTACAGAAAAGTGATGAATAAGAACCCTGTCAGTGGCCCTCCTACCTACCCCTGCCTTTTCTCTCTACCCCTACCACCTCCCTACCCTTCCCCATTTTATTGCTGTATTTCTCTCTATTTACTAATATTGTATTGATGTTATAATAAAAATTCAATTAATAAAGATTTAGTGGTTAAGTGCAAACGGTGTCCTGATCATTTCAGCGTCATCCACCAACATCAAAGGCACAGGGTTAGGGGAGGAAGTGAAGGGGGGGAGCAATAGGGATGGGACAGTGGGGAGAGTAGGGGGAGGAAGGGAGAAGGGAAGGTGGAGCAATAGGGGTGGAGCAGTGGGGAGGGTCTAGGAGTCTAGAGGGAGGGTGGGGGTAAGTTTGGAAGTGGGGGGTGGTATAAACACATCAATCAAACAACCCAGTATCCATTATCCAGAATACTTCAGGAAATCAACTAAATTACTCCTGGCTTCAAAACTTTACATATAAAATAAAAATAAAGCAACACAATTAATATTCTATTGATACAATATAAAATCTTTAAGATGCAAAACTTTAACATATAAAATAAAGCCACATAATTAATAGTGGTTCTATTGACATAATAAAAAAACTTTGTTTAATACCAATCCTTCATGGAATACTTGATATTTATTAATAGAAAAATTATCAAATCATTAGTAAGGACTGAAAGGAAGACATACTAATGAAGTAAGATGGTGATATGCCAGAAATGAGCATGTGGATTTTTAAAATACCAATTAACACTAAGAGAGTGATCATGAAAGTTAGGGAAAGAAAAGTGACAAATGGGGTCCATGAGACACTCATCCTATCATATTTCAAAACGTAATGACATCAGAGTTGTAATAGGTTGCATATAGAAAACTTGAAAAAGGGACTTTAATGTGCAGTTTCAAAGAGTTGCTGGGTTCATATGACATGGTGGTCACATAAACACGATAGTTTATTGGGAAGGGTGCTAGGAAGATGGTGACTAATTGGAAGGAGCTGGAGCTAATGATGAAAACACACAATTAAAAACTGTCTCTCCTTGGAATCAGGCTACCCTGGCTAGTTGTCCATTCAGCCCAGAGTACACAGACTTCCACAGGTGTACAGAGTGGTGGGTGGAATTGGGGAAATCGGGAGTGGGGGCACAACAAAATGCCTATCAAATGCCTGCCTGGAGAGTTACTTATAAATTAATATGGCGAAAAGCTATCAATCAAATCACTTTGAAAGAAAATGGAAATATCCTATTCATCCTTGTTTTGTGACACCTAGGCTCCTCCCCATCCTGACCCCCACCTCTCTCCATAAACCACGTGATTAAACAAAGCTTAGGGGAAACAAAAA